ACTGCTGCCTCATCTGCATGGACGACTTTACAGAGCGAAGGCGGCCGTACCCGCTGCCGTGTGTCGGCGCCTGCACCGGCGCGTCCGTGCATTACCGCTGCATCATGGCCTGGCTTGGCCAGTCGGGCAGCTGCCCGCTCTGCCGTGGGCCATGCGACCCGCTCGCGATGGAGCCGACGCAGACGCTCGACTTTACAGGTAGCACCTTTATACTCACATTGCGACGAAGGCTCATGGAATGGAATGGATAGATCTGAAAGCGACCGTGCTGCGCCCGGTGCCGTTGGACGCGGGCATCGTCCGCTGCTACGTCAAGCAGGTCTACAAGGGCCTCTTCAAGCAGTACGGCTACGAGCTCTATCTCCAAGGTCGCATTGGCACGGACGAGCCGGACCGGTTCCTCCTCGCCGCCAAGAAGCAGCTGCGCAAAAACATGACGGCCAACTACTCGATCTACACGACGACCGCGTGCGATGACGCGTCGCGCGTCGGCCGCATGGGCTCGAACTTTCTCGGCACGGTCTTCACCTTGTACGACAATGGCCGGGACCCACAAAAGGTACAGATGATGCACATTATCGTCTTGTATCCGATCGACAATACATGAAATCCAGGTGGCGAAAATCCAGGATGCGACCAACGGCCAAGACGCGCTCGGGCCCGGTGACAATGTCCTCCAGATCCGCGAAGAGCTCGGCTGCTGCACGTACGAAGCCAACCGCACGAGCGTGGGGCCGCGCAAGATGCGGGTATTCGATGCCCACTCGCGTCGCGTTTCCACTGTTTCATGTTCGCCGGGATAGGTGTGCATCCCCGACGTCGACGAAGCGGGGCGGTCGAGCAAGGTCGTCCGACCAACCAACCAAAAAGATCGCATTGTGAGCCGCATGGGCGTCGGCGAGCTCACGGTAGTACCTGTCACTTGATACTGTCTTGATACTGGAAATCTCAATGAGGTGTAGGACTTGATCAAATTCATCAACCGCGAACCTGTCTTTCGGGAAGACCTCGGCGCGTACTGCCTCGACTTTGGCGGCCGCGTCTCGATGGCGTCGGTCAAGAACTTTCAGCTGATCTCGGCCGACGACCCGGCGATGGGCAACGTCCTCCAGTTTGGCCGCGTCGCCGACGACATGTTTACAATGGACTTCCAGTGGCCGCTCTCGCCCTTCCAAGCGTTTGCGATCTGCTTGAGCAGTTGCGACACCAAGCTCGCGTGCGTTTAACTATTAACTATCTGCATTCCACTCGAGTACTGTCGTCGAACGCCTGTGCAATCTGGCCGTCGAGCTCGTAGTAGAAGCGCAACGACTTGTGCGTTTTCAGGTCCAGGTCCACGATCGCGACTTGGTACTGGTACGTCGAGTCGTCAGGAAGCACGACGATATTCTCCATCCCATCCGCCGCAGCGTCGCACGGCGCGAGCGCCAGCAAGAGCGAGCAGTCCTTGTACGTCGTGGCGACCATAAACTCGTCGACGAGGCGCTGGTAGAGCTCTTGCCATTCGCCCAGCGTCAGCGTCGTCCACGCACGGTCGGCCGTTGCCTTTTGAAGCGTCCGCAGCACCTCCGGCGGTGGGCTAGTATCGGCCAGCAGCTCGCCGAGGGTCGTCGTCGGCAGCGGTGTCTCGGCAGCGAGCTGCGCGTCGAGTTCTGCGAGCCGATAGAGACCTAGTCGATGGTCGCAGCGCGTCCAGTGAAGAATAGGATCTACCTTCAATGTCCAAACGATCGAGCGCGTGCATGCGAGCGAGGTCGTCGAGGACGGGCACGCGCCGCAAGACGGCCGAGAGCAGCTCTCGGAGGTGGTCCCGGTCCATGCCAAGGTCGTTCGGAAAGAGGCGGAGGTTGTTCTGCGGCGTCGCAAGGAGCTCGTCGAGCGCGTCGTCCATCGTATCGCGCGCAAAGAGCATGATGGGGCAGTACGTGCTCACGGCGTCGACCTTGCCTTCAGCGAGCTTGAGTTGCTGGTGCATGCAGAACCGACAGGCGCGACGCTTGCTCGCGTGCACGTCGTCATGCGCGTCAAAGACTTTGCCAAACTTGGGCTTGATCTCGACACTGAACGCGCCCTTCGCGTCGAACGCGACGTTTGGTAGCAAGAGCACCGTGCGCATCTCGAGGTTGAGCTGCGACGCTTGGCGGTGCAACGGCCGATCCGCCGCGGCCAGCGACGCGTTCATCGCGTCAAGAAACGCCGGTGCCACGTCGATGGCCTGGGCGACTTGGGCATACGTGACCGCGCTACCGAGCGGCACGTGGGTGGATGCAAAGGCCACGATATCGGACGGCGTCGCGCCGCGGACGCCGGCCTTGCGGATGCGCAGGACGTGGCCATGCAGTGGCGAGGTCGATGGACCCGTGTAGCGGAAGACGACGTTGGCGCCGCCTTCGGCCACGTACGCCCACTCGGTCGGCGCCAGGCGTGTTGACGCGACGTCCGCGGGCGCATGGCGTGGGTGGCCAGCAAGCAGCATGCTTCGAGGAGGATCGGGCGGTCGCCAGACTTGGATTGCACCGTGGGATATTCCCTATCTGCGCACATTGCATTTCAAACCGCGGGCTGAGAAAGGCGGCTGCACCGGTGCAATTCCTTAAACGAGTACGTTGCAGTAACTCGTTTCTCAGATGCGCTGCGCATCGCCGCACCACTCTGGCGTCGCAAATGGCTTCCTTTCCATTCTACGTGTAGACCGACGACGTGGGGTGCGCATGCCTTGTCGCCATGCCCATGTGGCCCCACCTGCTGGTGCGCGTGGCAGCGATACAGATTGCCACCTTGTATCAATTCTGCTACCAAGTGCTTGCGGCTGACGCGATGCGCTGGCAGCGTCCAGCTCTGCTCTGACGACAGGTCATCGTCGTGCAGCAAGTAACACTGCCTGTCGCACTTGCAGCAAGCGCGGTGGTGCCACGGCCAACGATCGTGCGAAGGTCGTCGTGTGTGCAGGTACTACTTGTGCGAATTCGAGTCGACTCCCACGTTGCACCGCATGGATACCGCATTTGAAGGGACTTTCCCGGCTTCTGATTGGCGCCGGGGACATCCGGATATATCAGCAACCGGATGGGCGTGGCAAAGTTCTTGATGCGAACGATTGGGTCAGTTCCCTCTTGGCAACCCCGTCCTCGCATCGATCGTCCGAATTGCGTCCGTCCGGCATGCCCAGCATGTTCCAGACGCCGGCGCTCCAGCGGTACCTCATGTGGAACGTGCCAATCACGCACGCCGCCATGCGCAAGCCAGCGCCACGTGGCGCGACGACGGCGCCGCCCGACCTCGTGACACTCGTGACGCTCAATCTGACCGTGCTCTCGATCGTCCACGGCGCACGCCTCGACGAGCACGACGCATACACTAGCAGCCATCCCAGCAGCCAAACAACGCACCACCGCGGCGTCATGCCCGGTGTCCTCACGCCGCTCGTGGCCAGCGAGTCTGCAGAGGCAGGGCGGCCGACGCTGCGCCAGCTCCGGGCGGCCAGTACGCCACTGCCTGCGGTGGGCGCCATCGATACCATGACTGTCAAGGAGACGGTGTCGATGATCGCGCCTGCCCAAGACAGTGCCATGGCCGCCGAGCCGGTCGGCGAGCCGATCGAAGAAGCCTCGATGACCAACGACGACGCCTCGCTCAACACGACGGCGGACAAGCCGACACCCATGGCCGTCAAGGAGACGGTGCCAATGATTGCGCCTGCTCAAGACAGTGCCATGGCCGCCGAGCCGGTCGCCGAGCCGGTCGAAGAAGCGGCTGCTACCTCGATGGCTATCGACGACGCCCCGCTCAACACAACGACGGACGAGCCGACGCCCATGAATGATTCAACGCCACTTGAAGAGTCAACCGCCATTGAGTCGACGATGCTGGCTGAACCAGAGACGACGACGACCTCCACGTGCTCCGACGACGTGACGATGAGCACCACCGACGAGCTTTTGCTAGCGACGAGTACACTTGACGCGACGCCCTCGACGCCCGCTGCGCCGACCGACGACGCAGCCGCTGCGTCACTGTTGATGGTCGCCGCCCCAGCCCTCTCCTCGGACAGCATGGACGAGCCGGACGACGAAGAGAAGATTGCAGCTGAGCTGCCCATCATCTCGGCAGTAGCCACGCCAGACGATTCGATTTCGAAAGACCTTGTCGCAGACCAGCGCTCGATCGCCGGCTCGTCGACCGCGTCCGAGGACGGCGACGACGAGGCAGATCGCGTCTTGTCGATCACGGTCAAGGCGTCTTCGGCTCCCGTTGCGCTGCCGTCGCCGATCCCCGAGGCGGCCGAGAACGACGCTTCCGAGCCGCTTTTTTCGATGGACCTCATGTCGGACCTCGACGACTCGGACGGCTGGTCGGTCTACGCATCCAGCGAGTGCGGCACCGAGTCCGGGTCGGTGACAGACACGGGTCGGTCGCGCAGCCGCAGCCGCATCCCGCGACGCGTCGTCCAGCCCGAGCTGCAGCCGTGCCTCCGCCGCAACAACCGGTCCGCGACAAGCCTTTCGGAGCACAAGGCGGCGCGCCTCGAATCGCCGGCGCGCGCCCGTGGCGACGTCACGAACCGTCTTTACAACCCCTCGTACCACCAAGAACGGGACTCGAAGCTCGAGCAGCTCCGCGCCCAACGCGAGCTCGAAGAGTGCACCTTCCGCCCATCGACCAACGGCAAGCCCCGGCCCCCCGGCGGCGGCGCCACCGTCAGTCGATCTAACACCCCACCAACCTTGTATCTCCGTCCTCGTCGCATCGACGAGCCTTCTTGTACCCTTCCGCACACTAATACCATGCTCGTCTTGTACCATGATGCGTGCACGTCGTCGTCGTCATTGCAAGCGCATCGCATGCCAGTACTACATGTAGCTTGAACCTCCACCCACCTATCGGGTGCATGGTGGCAGACATCACTCCCCTACCCCTATCCGTGGTGTCGGAGATGGCTACTACGCGTCGCAAAGAAGCGGTGGCACCCAAGAGTGACAACGAGCGACCTACACATCCCTGTGGCACGCTCATCGGCCTCGTCTCTGTGTCGCGGCTGTCTCTGGTGCAGCCGCCAACGTAGTTGCATGTACCAATTGGGGTCGATTCCGAAGCATACCGATGCACGGCGTATCTTGAAACGTACGACTATGCAATAACACTCGCTTGAGTCTCTACCGCGTCGTGCCACCGACTGCGCGGATGACAGCATCCACGTCCGTGGTCGGGAGCAGCTTGCCTTGGCCGCACGCTGCATTACCGCCGCCCGAGCCGAGACCGTGAACGATCTTCTTGAGCATCTACACACACATCCAACTGCATGGACGACCGAGAAGAGGAGGATCGCATACCTCGCCCGCATGCACGTGGCGGTTGCCCATGCAAATGATGCTGTCGCCCATGAGGACGATGTGCGCTGAAGTCGGGTCGGCCTTGGCCACGAACTCGGCGCGGCGACGCAACGCCTGCATGTACATGGTGCGGAGCGCGCTGTTCGAAGCGTCCTTGCAGACAAGGTCGAGGCGGTGGAGCGCGAATGGCGTCGCGTCGTAGGTGCCAGTTGTGATCGGCGCGATCGAAGCCGACACGACGTGGTCCGTCACGCTCTTGGAGAAGCTCTCGAGCGCCTTGAGCTGCGTGTCCATGCGCGTGAGCTTTTGCGATGCCATCGCCGGCGTTGTGCTCATCTGCATTGCCAGCTGCTCGAGCAGAGCTTCCTTTTCTTGGAGTCGCTTGACGCCTTCAATACCGGCCACCGCCTAGCTCCCATCATACTACACCTACCCCTACCGCTAAAAGACGCACCTCGATGCGGCGGGTGCCGGCAGCCACCGAGGCTTCGCTGAGCACGACAAACGGGTAGAGCGACGTGGCCGACGCGGCGTGGGTCCCCCCACAAAACTCGCTCGAGATGTCGCCGATGCGAACAACGCGGACGCGGTCGCCGTATTTTTCTCCAAACGCACAGATCGCGCCGGTCGCCTACGCCGTATTGAGAGAAAGAGGGATGGATACGTGGAGCACCTGCGCCGCATCCTTGTCCATCTCTTCGGTGCGAATGCTCGCGTCCGAGAGCGCCACGTCATTGACATAGGCTTCGACGGCCTTGAGTTGGTCGTTTGTCATGCCGCCGAAATGCGCAAAATCAAACCGAAGGCGGTCGCTACCAACGTACGACCTACGCGTTTTGAGTTTGAGTTTCAAGAGAGGCAAGAGCAACGATGTGTGTACCCGGCTTGCGCAACGTGCGGGCCGAGCACGTGACGAAGGCCTGCTTGCAGCACATGGGTGGCCGAGTGGTGCACGGCCGTGCGCTGGCGGTGCCGGGCGTCGACAACCGCGTGGACCGCCGGAGACTTTTTCAAAAGCAGTTCAACGATCTCGACGTCCAAGTGCTCGGGAATAGCCACGTGGATCACGCTGCCGTGTTCGCCGACCTTGGTCGTGCCCGTCACGGGCAGCTCAATGTCTTCGCCAAAGTGATCCAGTCCAACGAAACCAACGTCGCCGACTTGGCCACCGCCCTCGGCGTAAAACGGCGACGGCGACAACTGGAGCAGAAGACCGTTGGAAGCAGTCGACCGTTCAAACTGCACGACCTTGGACCGCGGCACGCGGAGCTGATCGTACCCGACAAACTCGGTCGTCGCCGTCGATGCACGCGGCGTCACGCCGAGCAGCGGCGCGGACGCACTCAGCGGTCCGTCGGCCGCAGTCGCCTGCGCATTCGCCATAGCCGTGTGGAAGCCGTCGACGTCGACGGTCGCGTCCAGCGAGACTGCAATCGACTCGGTCATGTCGATCGTGAGGCCAAAGGTATCGTAGAGCTTGTACGCCTCGGGGCCTGAGATGTGCTTGGCTTTTGTCGCAAACAAGAGCTTCTCGATCGCGCGGATGCCCGTGGCTTGCATGGCGAAGAAGGCTTTCTCCTCGTTGCGGACGATGCCCGTGAGCTGCAGCCGGGACGCCACGTCCATCTCCAAGAGGCTAGGCAGTTGGATTGTCGAGAGGAACGGCTCGGACGCCCCGGCGACGCGGATCGCACGCCGAAGGATGCGCCGGAGGACGTAGCCGCGCCCGACGTTCGAGGGAAAGACGCCGTCGGCCAGCAGTGCGTACGTGGTACGGAGGTGGTCGGCGACGATGCGCACCGTCTGCACATCCCGGTGCGTGCCAAAGGTGTTGGACGTGATCTCGGCGGCGATGGCTGGCGTGTAGCTACAAGAGGAGTCCGCTGAGAAGCTGCGAAGTCTCCGAGACGACGCACCGCGTGACCCCGAGCTGCGCGTCGAGCGACGACGCGATCGTGTAGAGCAGCGGCGTGAAGAGGTCGGTGTGGTAGTTGGAGATGACGCCTTGCATGACGGACGCCATGCGCTCGAGCCCCATGCCGGTGTCGACGCACGGCCGGGGCAGCGCTGAGAGCGTCCCATCTGCCGCCCGGTCGTGCTGCATGAAGACAAGGTTCCAGAGCTCCAGGTACCTAGAGGACGCTAGACGATCGAATCGAGCGAGGCAAGTGGTGGCTACCGATCGTCGGCCGACGTGAACGCGTCGCCTTGATCGTAAAAGATCTCGGTGCACGGCCCGCACGGCCCGGTTTCGCCCATGGCCCAAAAGTTGTCTTCAGCACCGAGCCGGTGGATTTTGGCGTCGGGCAGCTGCGCGATTTGGCGCCACCTAGAGCACACATGTTGTCGTCTAGTCCGAGGCGAGTGGCGTACTACCATTGCGCGGCTTCGTCGTCCGAGTCGAGGACCGTCACGTGGAGCTTCTCGGTTGGCAGCGAGAGCTCCTTTGTGAGGAACTGCCACGCGTGGAAGATGGCTTCTTCCTTGAAGTAGTCGCCAAAGGAAAAGTTGCCGAGCATCTCGAAACACGTGTGGTGGCGCGCCGTGAGCCCGACCTGGTCGAGGTCGTTGTGCTTGCCGCCCGCGCGCACGCAGCGCTGCGCCGACGTTGCGCGCGCATACGGCCGCGTCTCGTTGCCGAGAAAGACCTAGTACGCACGCGGTAGGATGTGAGCGATGGCGTCGAGACGCGGACCTGCTTGAATTGGACCATGCCGGCGTTCGTAAAGAGCAGCGACGGATCGGCGGTGGGCACGAGCGAGCTGCTTGGCACGAGCGCATGCTCATGCTGCTGGAAGTAGCGCAAGAAGTTGCGGCGGATGGCCGCGGCCTTGTGCATCTGCGTCATCGGTGATGGCTGGCGCAATGGCAATCTCGCGTATCCGGGCATCCGGATAATAGAGCAGCCCACCGACGACACTTTGTACACAACAAGCAAATCTATCTCCGAGATAGGCTGCGAGTTGGTATCCACGAGGCTATGGTATCTCGGCTGCTCGCATCATGGACGGTGCATGCCAGAGTACTTGCATTGGCTACCATAGGTGACCATGAGCCCAAGAATCTTCACGAAGGTTGGGACCGTTTGGCAGCTCAGTTGGCGTACTACGGCAACAAAATGCAGACGCTTGCTCGTACAAAGAGCATCAACCCGTTCATTTCGACCGACTGTGAGGCGTGCCAGTGTTTGCATTGCACTACTGGTTGGCATGGCACCAAGGGCATGGTAGGTACCGTCGCGGGGTTTGAAGTGCCGCCCAAGGAAAGTTCAAATCTATGGCCCCTTTGCCCAAAAACGCCCTCTTCTGTGGCGATACGTCATTGCTTATGGCTCGTCCATTGTAGCTCGCGCTAGGAGCTGTTTTCCGAGTTGAAAGCGAGGTACACGCCTTTTGAGGTTCCAGTTTCCATTTGCGTCGCCACGATGGGAATTTCCTTGGTCGCCACCAACGCGCTCGACAACGTCCCTGAACGCAACAACTCGTTGTAGTAGGTCGTTGCTATTCGAAGTGCAAGGTCGCAGTCTATTAGCATCCGACACGCAGTTCCAATCGATCACGGTCCCTTGGTCGTCGGCGTGAGCTCAAACGACGTCGCCAGGAGCGCGAGAAGCGCATCCTTGTCATCGATGGTTCGCGCGTCGACGACGACGCCCGCCTCGTACTTTGTAAATTGATTGGCGGTCAGTGTCCACAACGTCGCACCCGACCGACGCACCACGAGCGGTTGCTGCGCCAAGAACGAAAGCGGGCTCGCCGAGCAGTACCAATTGGCCATTGCATAATCGGCCTGCGTCGTGACGACCGACGTCGAGAAGACGTAGCTCGGGAACATGGGCTTGTCCTTCCCCGTGCGATAGTAGACAGCAAATTGATCGCCGGTCGTCGGCGCCTTGGCCAAAACAAAGCGGCCGCTAAAATCGGACGTCGTCCAGTGGTGCGTCAGCGAGACGGCGGCGAGCTCGTAGCGCTCGCCGTGCGCAGCCTCGACGCGCGACGCGGCGCCTGGCTCGAGACGCATCGGGCACGGCGGCTGGCCACGCCCGCCAAAGCCCACATCGCAGAGGTACTTGGCCATCTCGCCACTGGCATTCATCGCGTCGACGATCAGAATCGCATGGCTGAGGCCCGAGAGATCGTAGACCGCCTTTTCGGGGTCGTTGTTGGCCATGACAACGCGCGCGCTGTGCGTGGCGACGACGTAGCCGAGGCTTCGGAGCACAGCCGCGAGCAAGCCGTTCTGCTCAAAGCAGTAGCCGCCGCGCTTGTCGTGCACGAGCTTTTGCACGATATTGTCTAGCTGCAGCGAGACGACTTCGCCGTTGGTCGCGTGCGCAATGGGGAAGACGCCGCAGCCCGCGAGGTTTTCGAAAGGGATCGCGCGACCGTGGTGGGTGACGATAGTCGCCAGCTGCGTCAGCGAAACGTCGGCGGTAAGCGCGTCGCGCGTGAGGCCAATGCGCGCAAGGTACGCGTCGAGGTCCATGGCCGGCGTCGGTGTTGCCATCTCAGTATCAATGGAAGAGTGCGACGTCGGCGGAACCGAGGCGGCTTCGACTAGCGCGCTCGTGATTCGTTGAAATGACAGATGTTTTTAAACGAGAGAGTGCGTCAAAGAGAGTGGGTGAGAGTGAAGACGGGAGAGCGCATGCGTCGCTCCTAACAGGAGTCTTGCGTGCCGTTCGATAGGTGGGGTTTGGGACGCTTGCTACTGTAGACGCTGCTTGCTACCATGTCCTGTACGACGTAGGGAATAAATTCGTATCCCCTTGTACTACTACTGCAGTACTACTCGAGTAACTTGGTTGCCAGGCCGCTACCGACCAACGAAGTGACTGCGGTGTTTACGAGGCAGGACTGATCACGCAAGGCTTCGCAAGGCTTTGGCGAGCTCGGGCACGGCTTGTGCGTCGACAACTCTTTAGAGTACCGCACGATGTTAGTGTCCTAACTACCTTTTAAATCATTTACTAGTAAACTATAATTTAGTGAAAAGGCTAAAGTACATCTATGCGCTATGCAGTTTCGACTCGGATTCGATCGTCGAATGCCACTTGCCATGGGACCACGTCCAGAGCGGCGGTGGCGCGCGATAGACGCACCCAAGCGGCAGTTGGTGTCGGTTGAGCGCATACAACGACGGCGGTGCGGGCGTTCGTTCGGCGAGGTCGTCGAGAGGCCGCTCGATGCACTCGGCGTCCATTGTCGCTACAAGAGCCGCCCGAAGCCTTCGAATCATATCCAGTCGCAGGTGCTGCACTGCAAGAACGGCCAGCCATCGACGCACGTGGCTCTGAATCTGCCGGGCGACGCGATGCCGACGGTACCGTCGCCTGGCCACCACGCGGCGCATGGCCACCACGAGACGGTCGACTGGACTTTGGTGGATACGAGTACTACCGACTGGACTTTGCGGGATACGAGGACTACTAGTGCACGTCTGCGGTTTGAATAGCCGTCGGATGCTCGAGGTGACGGCGGCCGCGAGGACGTGCTTGGTTGCGACGTGGCTCGGTGCCGCGCGTTGGAGGTGTGCGGCTGCTTTGAATGGTGCGTACCTCGTCGGTGCCCATGTCGCCTGGCTTGCAACGGCGGTGGCGTGCGCAGCGGTAGGACTGCTTGTGTTGGCCGCGGACACGTGGCTTGTCGACAGCAAGCGATCCAAGCAGAGCGGCGGCACGTCAGCGTGCGTCAACTGTGTCGTGTAAGCGCTCGCCGGCCATAGTGTCGTGCTCGGTGTCGCAAAAGCCATCGATATTGTTGGCAAATCCTCGTCCAGATCCTCTGCGTTGTCGCAGGAAGGCTCTGCACCCGACGCACGTTGCATTGGGGGTGTCGTCACGTTGCACAAGTTGTCGTCGTTGCTGTTGGACATGGTGTCGTCTGATACGGAATTGTTTTGGGCCAAGTCGGTCGTCCTCCGTGGTGTGAAACTCGCTGCGTCGACATTCACGGGTCGTGTGTCTGTCACCGTGGGCATCGCCACGTCGCATCTCTCGCTACGAATGCTTTTCAATGCCCTATGTCGACGGGCGCAGCGCTGCAGAGCCACGACACCTCGTCGCAGTCGTTGAAAGCGCGCGCGCACCATGTGCCGCCGATACAGCGCCTGGAACGGCACCCACGCGAGCTGCCATCGGTGATTGCGGGCGTTGCGAGCTTGATGTCGCTGGCGCCGACGACACATGGCTTGCAACACGGACGTCGCCGACGTGCGACGAGAGGCGTTGTAGCGTCGCCATGCCCGCACCAGCGTGCTTACAGCACACACCTACTCGCTGCGTGTGAGCTGTTGCTCGTGCGCGCATTCGGTGATCCGACCTGCTGATGCTTTTGCCACCGTCGATGCAGTACATGGCGCCACACCGCCGCGAGCAGCTTCACGTTGCGCGTGAACAAATAGGTTCTCGATCGAGATTGTTCGCACCTTGTTTCGCATTCGAAAACGTAAGAGCGCCACGCGTCGACCTTGGTGGCCGCGATAAAGCCGCTGGAGGCTTCTGGCGCCGTGTTCGTGCCGACGCTGTCGGTGACGCCGGTAGGCGCACTGCAGTCGGCGGGCGGCGTGACGCCGGCGCATGTAGCTAGCCACCGCATCGCAAAGATACCGCGCGACGCTGCGTCGTGCGACCATGCCCACAAGCCGCCGAAGTCGCGCAAGCGTCGTCGTGGCAGGAAGACTCGTCGTCGTCGTCGTCGTCGTCGGTGGCGGTAGCCGCAGCCGTCGGGGGGCATCGTTCGCTTGGTTCGTCGACGGTGGCGGTCGCTGCTTGGCCGCCATCGCTTGCCGCAGCGCGACGACATGTTGTAGATGAGGCGACTGGAACGCCGCCTTTGTGGCGCGCCGACCGCCCACGGCCTGCGCCGCCCACATGCCAGTTACGCCACCGGTGACACGCAAGTTTCGCGCCGATGAAACCGACCCCAGACCCGCCGCACCAAGGCCGCTCAAGCCTCCTCTTCTTTCCCCTCCCACCTCGCCCGCACCATCCTCGCCGTGGCCATCCATATGTGGTAGCATGCTTGTATCGCCGCTACCCTCAAGATCGAGGGCACAACGCCCCCCCCCGACGGGGGGCCTCAACAACGTGATCCGTGGTCGCAGAACCAGTGCTTGAAACCTGGCGAAACCCACCGCGCGCGGGTATACAAACCGCAAGGTATTTCCGAGCGAGGGGTTTCGCGAGTCGTTTTGCCTTTCAAACCGCTTTCCATACTTGGTGCCATCAGTACTCGATATTCGTTCTACACCCATCGTCATGTCGGCCAAGAAGATGCAGATGGGGCGGCAAGCGCCCGGCGGCGTCCTCGTCTCGCCTATCTCGGTTGCCCACCGCGTACGGGCTCCGTCGTCGTCTATCTAGCGACTGACCCCGTGCTAGAATCGGTGTCTCGACAGCGACAGCGTGAATCCTGTCCGCGCGCAGTGGATGGCCAACCTCAAGAAGCGCGCGGACGCAGCGTCGTCGCCGCGCGTCGACGAGAAGGCCGAGCCCATGGTACGCGCTTCGTAATATCCGCTTCGGCCGATAAATCTGTCGATTTATAGAAGGCGTACGGGCACATCGAGTACACCGGCCGGCCCGGCGTCCGGGTCGAGCCCAAGACGTCGGCGCATGTCGATATTTTGCCCAAGAAACTCATCAAGCCGCTGCTGAAGAAGCGCCCCAACTGCCCGACGATGCTCGAGCTTCAAGCCGGCAAGCCGCGGACGCCTCGGCGAAAGATGAACGGCGGTGGCTTTGACAGCGACATGCAGATCCAGACCGGCTTTGGCCCTCTCGACGGGTGCTTTCCTGGCGTCGGCACGCCGACCGCCCACCACCGACGTGGCCCGGCGTCGCCCGACATCATGGACCCGTTCTCGGGCATCGACTTTGGCCCGTTCGACACGTTTCTGGATCTGCCGACGCCCAAGAACAATGCGCTGCAGCCGTGCGCGCCGCCGTTTCCGGTGATGGAAGCCACCGAGCTCGCCAATGCGTTCCAGCAGCCACCGCTCTTGGTGCGAGCGACCAGCGTCGAGCAAGAAGGCCTGAGCCTCTGCTTTGAGCACACCCACTTGGGCAATCCTTCGCAAAGTAGCAGCTCCCACAACGTTCCGCCGTCGCCGTTCGGGCTTCGTCCGTCGTACGTTTTTGACTCGACCAAGCACCACCCCGAGTTTGACATTCTCGACTTTAACGACTCGGACATTGACAAGGAAGTCGACAGCTTCTACTTTGACGGCGACGACAACAACGCCGACAACAACTCATTCGACCACGACGAGATTGAACTCATCTCGACGTAGTCGCCTCCTCGCTTAGACGTAGTTTCATAGGACACCGCATTTTTCCTCCATGTGCTAAAACAAAACACCTTGTCTCGTCCGATTGAGAGGTCGAGTGGACAAACCGGTGGGGCCGTCAAGAGAGCTCCTGACGCGTGCATTCAATGGATCAACTTTGCAGATCGGGAGATTCGACTTGACGGGCCGTCGCGAGCGGAGCCAAGTCACGGGATATCCTCTCCTACTGTGTGTACTCGGCGAGACGTGGATGGACGCCGGCCCAATCAAGCCCGTCGTCGTCGTCGTTGTTGTGCTCAACACGTCGATATTTCCACAGCGGCCACAAGTGTATAATAACAGTGTGTGTGATGCTCGCTCCCTTGTCCCCAAATCTATCAGTGTATCAAGTCGGTGCGAAACGAGCTTGGTGCTCTTGTGTCGCCTCAAGGTCCATGACGCAACGTCGACTCTATCATGCATGTTGTGCAATTTATGGTTCTAATGGTTGCGGGACGAGGCGCAGTGTAGTCTACTTTGTTTCTGCCTCGGCGATGACACGCTTGCAAATGTCGCGCCACATTTGCGCGTGCGACATGTCGTAGTGCAGCGCGTAGCTCAAGCCGCGCAGAAGGAGCGAGACGCGGTACGCCATGACAAAGTCGTCCGACTGCTCGACGAGCGGGTCCCGCTTGCTCATTTGCTCGGCGAAGAGCTGGATGTTCATGCCGCCCGTGACACTCGCGTCGTCACGGTCCATCATGATGCGACCCATCTTCTCGAGCACGTACGGGTCCATGTGCTTGGTCTTGACTTGGATCTCGTGCGTCATTGCCTGCACGACGTCGTCGCTGGTGCCATCCGCGAGCGCAACCACGAGCTTGGCGAGGCGCACACGCTGGTCCTTTGTGATGTGCTTGACCTGGCCATAGTCGATGAGGCCCATGCGGCCGTCCTTGAGCAGCATGATGTTGCCCGGATGCGGGTCGCCGTTGAAGCAGCCGTTGACAAAGATCTCGTGGCCGTGGACCTCGACGATGAGGCGGAGGATTTCCGCAAAGTTGAGCAGCTTGGAGTGGTCGACGGCGTCGTCGGCTGCCGGTTCGCGTGCCCAGATCCACCCGAGCGTGTAGTCGTAGAGGCCATGCCGCACTTGTGTGCCGAGCTCGCGTAGGTACAAGTACGACTGGATCTTGCGCATCTCGTCTTCGGACGGCCCGCTCTCGCGCGCCAAGCCCATGGCCCGTCGCTCCGCATCCACGCGCTCTTGCTCGGCCTTGAGCGCGTCGATCGTCGTATTCTTCTCCTTCGCAATGAGTTCAAAGTGGTCTTGGATGCCATCGAGGAGGCTCTTGCCGTCGAGAAACTCCATCACGAGCACGTCTTTCGTGCAGAGTTCTGGGTACGGCGCGGGCACGACAAACCGGCTCGCGTACGGACTCGCTGCAATGTTGGCGCGGACTTCGGCGAGGTTGGCGGCTTCGCGGCGGTAGTCAAACTCGGTCATAAATTGCTTTTCCACTTCGTTCAGAAACGGAAGCTGCTCGGGCTGCGCGAGCTTGCAGAACGTCTTGATCGTACCAATGTCATTGCGAAAGTGATGCTCGGCTTCGGGAAACTGCACCTTGACGACCACCGTCCTAATGGTGCCATCATCATCATCATCCATAGTCCAAGCGGGCATGCAGGAGGAGGAAGACGTACGTGCCGTCGAGGAGCTTGGCCTTGTGCACTTGGCCAATGGACGCCGCGCCGAGCGGCTTGGTGTCGATCGAGAGGAAGATCTCCGAGATCGGCTTGCCAAACGACCGCTCGATGATGCCAACGATCTCGTCCATGGGCTTGGACGGGGCATCGCTCTGGAGGATCTTGCACCGGTCGAGGTACTGCTTGGGTAGGAAGTCGTGGCGCGTCGACCCAATCTGGGCGAGCTTGACGTAAAAGCCCTTGAGGTGCAGCACGACATCGTACAGCGTTGGCGCATACAAGTCGTGAAGCTCCTCGTAGTGCGCGTCTTGCTCGTCCTGCGAGAGCTGCAGCACGTCGTTGATGTAGACCTGCTTGGACCGGTAGTGGATGTACGCGGGCATCGCCTTCGTGTAAAAGTAGAGCGACCGCGCAAAGCCCTCGTCCACCTGCGACCCGTAGTAGACGCCGCCGCCGATGGCCGCCGTGAGCCCGGCCATAGCCATCGCCGCCTTAGTCGCATGGGACGAGCGGCGTGGCGCGACCGCAGCGGTGCTCATGGCGGCGCGGCCAGCAGCTCGCTGCGTCAGCGCTCGGAGGCTCAGCATCGTCGGTCGATCTCAATTGGTTGTCCGGTATTCGAGAGCGTTCATTTGCCTCGGCTTGAAGACCGCCTGTCGCGGCCCACGCTTCCTAATTAGGCCATAGCTTGATGTTTGTATGCTGGCATGCGGCCCCCTTTCGTTGGTTTCGGATTTTCACGCGTGTGAAATGAAATACACACCTTCGTAAGGCGTTGCGATACCTTTACACAGGGGCGAGGGAAGCGTGAAAAATACAAGGAAGCGTGGGTTGGGATTTTCGCGTGGGTAATGCTTCCAGTGGAAGCAATAGTTTCATTTGCTGGCGGCGACGACGCGACGATGGACAGCCTCGCCGAGCTCATGGGCGGCTACACGGAAGAAGACGAGCGCGAGGTCATCCAGGACATTGCCATCGGAAGGACCACGCGATCTGCATGCAGATCTCGCTCGCGCCCGACGACGGGCAAGCGCCCGGGTCGCTCTTCGCCTACCACGTCTGGAACGGCGCCGTACGCTTTGCGTCTACCGTCCTTGCTGGCTCATACCGCTCTTGTAGACGTGCCTCTCCGAGTTCTTTGCGGCGACGCCGGCACTGGTGCAGCACAAGGCCGTGGTCGAGTTTGGCGCCGCCTCGTACGCCCACGCCGCCTCATCGTGCCTTGAATTACTAGTGCACTGTAGGGCGCTGCCATCGCTTGTGGCGCTGCATCTGGGCGCATCGACCGCCGTCATGACAGGTACTGCTTGTGAAGCAACGCACGCAAGGCGAAAGGTCTCTAGACTACCCGGCGCCCGTGTTGATCGACAACATGCAGCGGAACGTCGCCCGCAACGCGAACAAGCTTGGCCATGGCAGCGCGACGGTCCTCGGGCATCTATGGGGTGATGACGTCGGCCCGCTGCTAGCGCCTACGCAAGGCGATGGCTTTGACGTGGCCATCGTCGCCGAGTGTCTCTGGCTGCACAAGGAGGTATGAGGATGTGGCGACCTATGCAGCAATGTAAGGATGATGGACTGTACTAGCACGAGCATCTCTTGATGTCCATCATGGCGTGTTTAAAGCGTGGCGGGAAGGCCTACATTTGCTTTAGCCACCACGTGCCCGGTATGGAGAGCGAGGACTTGTCCTTTTTTACAAAGGCTGCGCGCACGTACGCGTGCGACGTCGCGCATCTCACGACCTTTCAAGTCCACGCCGTCTTTAACGCCGCCAAGACAAAGGACCAGTACCTCTACTGCATCACCAAGCTCTAGGCGTCGCATCAATTTAGACTTTCGTTTGTTGGTATACAGAGGTTGTCAGCCCCTTTAAATGTATTGACTACAGAGAATCACCGTCGACACACGGCCGCGGAATCCATTCATTAACATGACGGGATGGTAGCGACGACGACGATTTTTCCAGCCAAGGGAGATCCCTTGCTTCCAGCGTACTAGTGCACTGCTCGAGAGTGAAATTCCTCGAGGAAGCAGTAGACAAGCGTCTGTGTCGTGCGGGGTCCAGACGCGTGCCGTGGCGTACGCGGTGGATGCGAACTTTCCATCGAGCCCTTGACCAAAGGCCTTGTCCAGCATCTTCGTTCCATCGAGCGATGGCCTTCGTCGCCCCGTTTGAGCCTACCCCAAAGCAACCAACTGCCTGTGTACCGACGTAGGGCTCTCTCATAGCTGCGCTGTTGGCAGTGCACCCACTGAACCTCGAGCTATCGACGCCGAGCCAAAAAGTTTCGTCACGTCTGGTGATGGTTTTTGGCGCCAAGTCGTTACAAATCACCCACCTACCCGGTTGTCAATGGACTTCAATGAACGCGCGGAACGTCGAGGAGATGTCGGCGTGGCCAGCGGACTATACAAGAGCACACAGTGTATTATCATTGCGCTCGGTTTGTTCCACGGGCCCATGTACGCGAAGGTGACGGCGCCTCGTGGCTTGCGAGAGAGGACGTGCAACGCTGTGTCAAGGCGGCCTCACAGCGTCATGTCGTCACGCCGAGTGCCAGCGTGAGTCAGTCAAGCTCCGCTACGAACGACGCGTATTGGTAATAGCTCACCAGGCTCTATCGTCGATGTCATAATGGTCGTGGCCAGCATCCGCAACGGTCGACGTGAAATGATGGCGTTGGCAACTTGTGTGTCACTGCCGAGAACAGGGTGTTTAAAACACCTTGCTCCTAATTAGGACATGTACCGAATTGGGAAGTCGCATCCACGAGGGCCAATAAAGATTCCGCATGGAGGAGCCGCGGCTCACGCTGGCGATCGCCAAGACAGAGGCGCTCTGCGTCGAGATGCCCATGCTCTTCAAGGACGTGGCGAAGGCGCCCGAGTACTTTGGCGGTATGCAGAACCTCTCGACGATCCAGGAGACCAAGACGCCGTTCCTGCCCATCAAGCTGCGGCCGGGCGAGCCCAACTGCAAGCCGATCTTCGCCGACCGTGCCAAGACGCAGACGTTCGTGCTCAAGGTCACGAAGAAGCGGCCGCACGAGCCATGCACCGCGGCCATCACGGCCATCGCGACCGAAAAGTTTGTCTGCGAAGGCATGGCCGACTTCCAGTACCTGGCCGCGCCCAGGTACCTCGAGAGCATGGCCGAGCCGATGACGAAGAAGCTCTTGCTCTACCGCAACATCTCGACGGCCAACGAACTCGAGCTTGTGCCCGAAGTCTTCTCACGCGTTGACCTTCCGCTTCGGTACGAGTTCAAGCAACGACCCAAGTTCAAGGAGCGCGAGCCCGGCGACGAGGCGTCGCCCGCGACCAAGGTCACAGGGCGCGGTGTCCAGTACGTCAACTTCCGCACCGACAAGGTCGTGCCGCAATTCCAAGGCCCGCAGAGCATGCCCAAGACGCGCGGTACCATCCATCCCTTCCTCTTGATTTTCGCTCATGCTCGTCGCGTAGGGATTCCGGCCGAGCTGGAGGAGCAAGTGCTCACGTTTCTTCGACAAAAGCTCGACGAGCGACCGATCTGGCACCGCCACAAGGTGGGCTATCCACTTTTGCTCGTGCATCCTCATCCCTTTCTAGCTCTTTGAGAACGTCTCGGCCGCCGAGCGTCGCGTCGCCCTACGCTTCCTCCCGTTGATGTGCTACATCTTCCTCAGTGGGCCATGGCGGGGCATGTGGGTGCGCATGGGCTACGACCCGCGAACGACGCCATCCTCTGCGCTCTACCAGGTATGCCAATATAAACGCTTTGGTCGCCTCGACCATTGCATTTAGATGCTTGAAATCCGAGGCAACCGCGAGCTCGTGCTATCGACCGTCAGCATGCGGACGCAGAAGAAGATCTCACGCAACAAGTTTACCTCCCGTCTCTCGACGGTGATCCAGTCGATGGACGCCGAAGACGACGTGGCGCTCCACTTTAAGCAGAAGAAGCGCCACAACCGGTCCAAGTCGACCGTCAAGACAGCACCGTTGGCCGAGCTCGACGACGAGGCGCCGACATACCTCATTTACGGCATTCCTCTGAGCACGGGCTACTTTCACATCCAGCTCTGCGACCTCCGCGAGAACAACCCGTCGATCGACGCGGCCATGACGCCGTTCGACTCCCGGTACGCGTCTTGATAGTTTGATAGTTTGATCGAAAGGGATATTGGTGTAGCATGCGGCAATCGGCGAGTATTCTCTCGGGCTGGTACCCGTCGTGCATGTTTGCGATGCTGCGCGAGATGCTCCGGTTTCACATTGCGACTGTGGTATGTAGAATATTGTCATAGGATCGGAAGACAATATAGATATATGGACATACGATGCAATGTAGGTGGGCCGGCCCGCCGAAGAGCTCGCGATGCGCCAAAAGCACATTCGGGCGCTGGAGCGTGCGATGCTCAATGATCTCGCGGCGCGCGGCGACGTCGACAGCGATGACAACACCAAACGACCGTCGTCAACGACTGGCGACGACGGTGACGCCCCCGCCGACGAAGCAACGGCCGACGAAGCAACGGCCGACGAAGCCAACAGCGGCGATGACGATGACGGCGACGACGACGAGGACGAAGACGACGACGACGACGACGAGGAAGAATCCAAGCAAGATGATAGCGTCTCCACCGTGATTGCCCTTTAAGTCGGAGAAGAAGAAAGCTGTCAACCATCGGCTATTCTCGGGTAGTACAAGACTTTGGTTGGGATCAACGCAGGGGGCGGTGAGTAGGGAGTCCTCTATTGAGGCAATACCTATCCCCTACTAACTGCGCTCATGAAACCAAGTCTTCCACATGCGTGATTGGACTGAGACACGTCTGTGTGCCCAAGTGGGAAGCGTTCCACTAGGAGCGCTGGGCAATCTGACTACCGATGAAATTCTTTCAGACTTGTTAGCTCTAATCCTACAATTTGAGTTTCATTTAGAAGATGCGCATACAAAAGACGACGCTAAATCTGCCATCGAGTCGCGCGTCGTTGGCTGGTTGCACTGGGACACTAGGGCGTTAGCCGTGCTTGGCCAAGAACGGGTTGACCGCCGTCTTCCACTCGACGTCAGCAAACGTGTGGTTGACGTCGCGGTGGTTGGCCTCGTCGGCCCGAATGCACTTGATCATGTCCAGGACGGTCGCGGTCTCGGGCAGCTTGTAGTAGTTGCGTGCGATCAGCGGCGCAATGTCCATGTCCCAATGGTCGACATGCCCGCTCTCAATGTCCTGGACGAGCGCCGTGTACGTGTGCACGGCCTCTTCCTCGAGGTACCCCACAAAGCGGTGGCACGTCTTGGGCGACGTGAGGTACGCGAGGAAAAACAGGTTGAAGAAGACGCCTTGCGCGCCGAGCACAAAGAGTCGGAAGAGCGGACCCGGCGACTTCATGTTGAGGAAGATGAGCAAGTGCATGCGCTCGTTCTCGGCCTCTTCCAGCAGCGTGTGGATCCAGCCCTGGTCGCGCTGCATCGTGCGCAGCGAGCGGAGATGGCGGGCCATGCCGGCGACCATGCCGGGGACACCCGCGACCGTCTCGAGGAAGAGCGCGCGGTTGACCCAGTCACCCGCCGTCATGCCGCCGCCCGGACCCTTGTAGCGCGAGACAAAGTCAAAGCCCGAGCGCATGACGCGGATGGCAGTGAGCGCGACTTTGGCGTGCATCTCGACCGGGTCGCGGTGCGTCGGATGGATCTTGGCGAGGTCGTCGGGACTGTAGATGGCGTGCGGGATCGGATTGTCCCACGTTTGCGGCACGGTGGCCCACGACTGGATCTTGGTGTCGGCAAAGTGGCCGTCGGTCTTGGGGTGCGACTTGAAGTGGTTGGCTTCAATGAGCGACGGGGCCGTGGCGCGGAGCGCGCTAAAAGACCGGACCGAGACGCGCGACGTGGTGCGGAGGAGTGACGGCGACGCGTGCATCGCGGGAAGGAGTATTGTTGTTGGGAGTTGGAGATTGAATAGTGAGGAACCCAACTACGGTGGCGAGTACGCTGGCGGTATGGCATCTCAAGACGAAAACACATGTTGTGCGTTGGAGACGGATGTGGCGGGCATGTCGCGTGCGCGGTCCATTTTGACCGTCCAATGGCCGGTGCAGGGAAGCGCGGTGAACGTGGCACCGACTCGTGTCCCACTGCGATTGTTGACCCGCCAACGCCATTCGAATCGAGGATGCGGCGCGTCGTCGATGAAAAAACCACGTCAATTCGTTCACCACCGTTCGTGCTTCGCCGGCGTCGTGGGTGCTTTGTACGTGTCTGCGCTGCGGTAAAAGGGACATGGACAAAGACGATTGATTGTCGAGCAAGAAGCTGCCACAAACAACATTACGCTGCCGTTGCTTCGGTTCAGTGTGCAAGAACTTGCAAAACGGGTCAAAAAATGGCTCTGCGTTTTCTAGGGTCTTGTACAAGCTTTGAGGTGTGTGGAATCGATACCCGATAACTCGAGCGTCGTACGAGGCGAAAATACGAATGCGTGCAACTTGAAGGCCGAGGGCAACCGACAAATCGGATGCGCGGAGGGCAGCGGGGAAATCGCCAACGCAGATGTCGCACGATGGATTATTTGAGTGATCACGTCCATGACGGTACGTAGATCAGCCAATCGACACCTACCAATACGTATGCATCGACTGCCTATACACTGGTGGCCTTGGCGTTATGTTGGATAAAACAACCCATCCAGCAACATGACGATTGTGTATGCATTCGCTCTTGATCAAGGTTCAGGCTCAAGCGCACTGACCAGAGAAATAGAGAGAGAAAGGTATAAGTATCCTTGTGGGCCACTCTGGCTACTACCAACAAGACGACGCCCAGCGCCCGCGAAAACATACATATCTGTCTTGCCCACTCCGTGCTTGATTGCTTGTGAAAGAAACGCGAATCGGAAAGATATCCAAGCTCGCAGCTCACGCCGGTAGGCGGGTGGAGGGATCTTGTCGCTAAGGCGAGCCCGCAACTGCGAAATGAAGCAGCCAACCGAGAGCGCGACCGAGTGAACATGGCCGTCGAGCAAGGAGGGTGGCCGTCGAAACACATCCCGCGACACGACGTTTTGGGACAAGAGGTTCAACTTGCACTTTACGTTCGCCCGACTTCACCGACGCTGTGATTGGCTCCTTGAATTTCGATCCCGAATCGACTTAAATAGTGTAAAATGTATGGCACGCGACCTCCTTGTCTGTGTGGGTACTGCACGGACCAGCAGTCTCTACCAAAACCACAAAGCTCATGCTCGTGCATGTCTACCCTAAAATACACCGTTGTAGACACAATTCGCGCAATTTCAACTAGAGTGGATATTGTGGGCCTGTCCCATCAATCACGGATATAGTGTACGTATGATGCATACGTAGGTGGTCATGATCACGCCACCTTGTGTCCCACGCTGCCACGTCATCGATGTGAGAACGGCCCAACCCGACGCACATTTCAATTTCCAACTCCCAACAACAATACTCCTTCCCGCGATGCACGCGTCGCCGTCACTCCTCCGCACCACGTCGCGCGTCTCGGTCCGGTCTTTTAGCGCGCTCCGCGCCACGGCCCCGTCGCTCATTGAAGCCAACCACTTCAAGTCGCACCCCAAGACCGACGGCCACTTTGCCGACACCAAGATCCAGTCGTGGGCCACCGTGCCGCAAACGTGGGAGAACCCGATCCCGCACGCCATCTACAGTCCCGACGACCTCGCCAAGATCCATCCGACGCACCGCGACCCGGTCGAGATGCACGCCAAAGTCGCGCTCACTGCCATCCGCGTCATGCGCTCGGGCTTTGACTTTGTCTCGCGCTACAAGGGTCCGGGCGGCGGCATGACGGCGGGTGACTGGGTCAACCGCGCGCTCTTCCTCGAGACGGTCGCGGGTGTCCCCGGCATGGTCGCCGGCATGGCCCGCCATCTCCGCTCGCTGCGCACGATGCAGCGCGACCAGGGCTGGATCCACACGCTGCTGGAAGAGGCCGAGAACGAGCGCATGCACTTGCTCATCTTCCTCAACATGAAGTCGCCGGGTCCGCTCTTCCGACTCTTTGTGCTCGGCGCGCAAGGCGTCTTCTTCAACCTGTTTTCCTCGCGTACCTCACGTCGCCCAAGACGTGCCACCGCTTTGTGGGGTACCTCGAGGAAGAGGCCGTGCACACGTACACGGCGCTCGTCCAGGACATTGAGAACGGGCATGTCGACCATTGGGACATGGACATTGCGCCGCTGATCGCACGCAACTACTACAAGCTGCCCGAGACCGCGACCGTCCTGGACATGATCAAGTGCATTCGGGCCGACGAGGCCAACCACCGCGACGTCAACCACACGTTTGCTGACGTCGAGTGGAAGACGGCGGTCAACCCGTTCTTGGCCAAGCATACCTAAGAGTAATTCAATGAACCTTGCATAACTACGCACCATACATGTATTTCTTTGACGAGCGGCGATGGAAATCTTGAATCGCCGACTTGTGTGATCGACTCTGGGATACAATGTAAAATGCAGAAGCGCATCATGGGTCTAGAGACTCTGTGTGCTCTGTGATGGTAATACATGCATATCGAGAACATGTCTTTGTGCAGTACGACGTTGTTGTGTCTGGGTTCGTTTCCCCTTGCGGAGTGTTGCACTGCAGAAGCCACCACAACGTTCACCGAGAACGAATCATCTCGTTGGTCCAATGCCGTCGATGCTGGCTCGTCATCGCCATATCAAGATCAAGGATATTGTCTTGTAATATAGACATGCATTTGTTTAGTGAGTAAAGCTTAGTCGCCTACTCGATGTGGTGGGCAAACCCGCGAATGTAAAAGTGGGGCCTCGCGCGCTGTCAAGGCGAACGCCGGCCGCGCCACCCGCTCCTTCAGCGCGGCCGAGAGCAGCGGAATGTCGTCGCCAAGCACGCGCAC